CAGGCAGGGGCATGGAGTTCTCAGGCTCTTCTACCCAGCAACCTTTGCCTCATGTTACAGGAGTGGTTGGGTGACCCTGCATGTCACCTACCCTGCTGGGACTTGGGCAGATCTGTCCCCTTTCCCTCGTACAGCGCAGTTCTAAGGTGGCACCTCAGAGCTGGCTTGGCACTGGGGGAGGAGGGGGAGTGCTCCCCAGCTGTGTGGTGGCAAGTGGCAGTGAAGGAAAGCGGGAAACCAGGCAAGAGCTTTCCTTCCAGCACCTTCCAGAGTTGCTGAGCTCATGGGTCAGATGAGCGCCAGCTCCACAGGCATTCCCCTCCGCACGCAGGGAAGTGCATATGCGGGTATCTCCCTGGCTTCTGGAGCAGCCAGGCCCAGGGCCATGCACTCTGCATCCTCGCTGACTGGCCTCAGCCTCCTAGCCTCCTACACCAGGCTGTGACTCGGTGCATAGCATGTGTTATCTGAGGGCCAGTGAGACTTAGGGTCCTTGCTTCTGGAAGACTCTAAAGCAGGAGCTGGAGAGATGGCTTGGAAGTCAAGAGCACTGGCTGCTCTTCAGAGGTCCTGATTCAATTCCCAGCATCCACATGGTGCGCACAACCATCTATCATGAGATCTGGCGCCCTCTTCTGGTGTGCAGGCATACACACAAGCAGAACACTGTATACACAATAAATCGAGACCTGTGGGTCGAGACCCCAATAGGGGTGGCGCATCAGACATCCTGCATGTCAGATATTTACATTACAGTTCATCACAGTAGCAAAAACAAAAATCATTTTATGGTTGGGGTCACCACAACTGAGGCACTGTTAAAGGGTTGCAGCCTTGGGAAGGGCGAGAGCCACTGTTCTACAGCTTTAAAATGCCTTTGCATTAACTGTAAGTCAGTGAGCAGAAAGCATCACTGTAGAGTATTTCTAGAGGTCTATAAAGCAATTTGGTGCCAGAGGTGGAGGCAGAGCAGTGGAAAGATGAGCCTGAGAAACCAGCCATGTGCATCCTGAGGAATGAGCCGTTAGGTGACTTTTATCGTCATGCCAACTCAGGTCATTGGGCTGGCAAGGCAAATGAGCAAGGACACACGGAGTCATCTTGCTGGCCCAAAATGTTTCATTTTTACCATTGTTGATTTTTTTGATAATACTTATTAGCATAAAAATATTACACAGCTGGACAAAAATGTTTTCTTCATACCTTTTTAAGCTAGTTTTTTTTTAAAAAAAAAAAAAAACTAAGGTATAAGCACGAACATTAGTGGAGGCTAGCCCGGCCAGGATCAGGCTCCCTGGCATCACTGGTTTCTAACTCCTTTATCTGATGTGACTAGTCTGAGGCAGACAGATCTCTGTCAGTTCAAGGCTAGCCTGGGCTAACAGAGAGTGACTGGTTTCTTCTGAGGGAGGCTCTCTTAACTTCCACCCTTGGTCTCCTCGGTATGGTCTTCGCTCTGAGTGCCTGTCACCTTAGTCACCCTTCAGTGGCATTGAGTTGTGGCTCTGGTAACCTCATCTTAGTAGATCTGGTCACACATAGCATCTTTCAGGGGACCCCATTCAGACGGTGACAGAAATTAAAGGCAATTCACGGAAGAGAATCAAATGTGTTGCTGAGAGATGCGTGGGAACAGTGCTCTACCCCATCACAGAAAGGGGAGTCTCACAGTGAGCTGTGCGTGCACTGGAGGCCTTGACTGAACCAGCCTGGGAACTTCAGCTAGTGCCTTGGCCCTCTGAACCTGTTTCCCTCTTTGGAGTTAGTTTATCATAGTAAGGTCTGAGCACTCAGAAAGGGATGAGAAGACCGCCAGCATGAATAGCTCGAGGGGGCCATCCTCTCCCAATGATACACTCCCGCAGGAGGTTCCCCAGCTGGGACTCGGGTCTCAGCTTCCTGTGACAGAGGGAATGAGGCATGTGTTGGTTGGCTAGTTCCCTGGAGTTGTTTTGAAATTTCACTGATCAGAAAGTGAGACGGCACCTTTGTAGACAGGGACAGAAATGTCAGCCAGCCTCAGTGGTGGTGTTCATGCTCTTGGCTTTGAGGCGGACATGGGAACATGGCTTTCTTCCTCATGGTCAAGGGAGAGAAAGCTATGGTTGGGGGCACAGAGGACATGGTCTGCGCCATCATGCCCCCGCTAATGACACGATTCTTGTCAAAGTAGATGGCCTCAAGATTAGTCATGGCTTTGGAGGGTCTGAAGGCTTAGTTTCTGTCCCCGACTATTAGTGTTAGGTTGTGGGGAGGCTTGTGACTGTCACGCAGGTTCCCAGGGCACAGTGTGAGCATGAGGGGTTCTGCCCGGCACACAGTGATGCCAGCACAGGTTGTATCAGGAAGGCTTACCCTGTCACCTCCAGGATATCCTGTGTGTTATGGGAAGCCCGAGGCTGGGTGGGCCCTTCCTTATTCCTCTGCCCGGCCAATGTACCATGGTTCCTAAGGCTGAGCAGGATGCTGTGGGGGCTAACCCTCCGCTCTGCACCTGGTTAAGGGCCAGACACTTGTTTCACCGTCGTGTGTTTTCGTTGGAGTTGGACTTCCTGGGATCTGATCTAGTCTGCTTTCCGCAAGTGCTGTTGACATTTTGTCTTCTGAGCTCAGACAGTGATCAGGAGGAGCACATGGCGACTGTCCCCAGAAAACTCTGGCCTGGATAAGTGTGGTGGTTTCTCTTGCCTACACACCTTTTCTGTTTCTTCCTAAAATAATGGAAATGCCCGCCCATGGGCCAGGCCGCTGCTCCCAGGCAGCTCCGGGAGTCCTCTAGGCCCTAGCAGGGCCCCTGTTGGTTTTCCATCCACCAACTTGGTCTTTAAGGAGCGGCAGGATGTGTGTGGTTTGGGTCAGCGTCCTGACGGCACAGGACGCATTGGGCTGTGATTCATTCAGAGTGGGGGAGGGACATGGAAAACAATGTCTGTCTGTAACTCCAGGAACCAGGAAAACGAGCTGGAAATATGAGTGATGTGTAATTTTACTAAAATTAACCAGCAAGTTCCCAGGCTTGTTCTACGTTTCATGGTATTTTGTATGGTGGACCATGCCCAGTGCCAATTGAATGATTTCCTAGGTGTTGAGTCCTGGAGGCCCCTGCAGGTACCCCCTCATTCTACACTCTGTGTATGTCATCATTGAGGTTGGTGCTTGGCCATGTGAAAGTGCTGTGGGGATCCAAGGTGCTAAGGACTGGTGCCCTTGAGGTCACGGGGACATGTGATGCTAACCTGCCTGAGTCGTCTCGTCATATGTAGGCTGTCTTCCTCGGACCCTCCAGTCTTCCTTGTGCTGCTTCTCTGGACTCGTTGCCTGCTGCAGGTTCTTTGGGAACCGTAGTGCTCCCTGCCATTGCCTGCCCTTGTTAGTGTCTGCCGCTCGAGTCCCCGGGCATGTAGACTCCATCTCCCTGGGCTCACTGGTTCCCATGATCCTGCCCCTTCCAGTTCTGCCTTTCCCTGTGCAGGTGTTCTGAGGCTCAAGACAGGCTGGACTTTGTCTCCACAAAGCTTTCAGTGCTGGTGTAGGATGGGCAGAGGTGATCGATCGGCAGTGGCTTGGTGGTTTCTGCCCTGAGGGTTTGCACAAGGGCCCTGGAAGTCAGGGCCAACGCACATTCAGAGCAGCACGCTATGGCTGCAGCCTCCCTGGCAAATGGCAGGTGGACAGTTGTTGCTGCAGCATCAGAGGTCTGTGGCACAGAGCCAGAGGTGAAAGTGGAAAGGCAGTTGGGAGCAGGGTTAATGGAAAAGGTGGTGGCTGCTGATGCTTGAAAAGACGTCTGTCGGGTCAGATTTGCTTAGTAAAAAGATGGCTTTGAGATGAGCACAGCAAAGTCAGAGGATGATGGGGCTAGTGAGCGGTCATGTCAGTGCCCTGCAGGGCAGTTTTACAAGAGTTCACCACTGAGAGAAAGGGATGCCGAGTACCCAAGATGGTGCTGTGTCGCTTCTGACAATTAAAAGTTAATAAAAGGTGTGGCTGTCACACGTGGGGGGGGGGGGGGGGTGTATGGTGTGTGACTAACCATTAGCATGTTGTATTTGGCTGGCCCAGCAGGCAGGCATGGCTGCTGTCTGCTCAAACAAAGCCCAATTACACATGGCCTGCTTCCCTGATGGTAAAGGGCAGGCCAAGCAGAGCTCAGAGGAATCGGAAATTTCCAAAAGTCTTAGGAATCAGCTCCCCCCCTTTTCCTTCAGAGTTTTCAAGTGCTCGCTCTGGCAGCTGGCTAAAAAGGGACAGCCCCTGAGCAGAGCGCTGGTGACTGATCTAGAGTCAGTGGGACGGAGGGAGGGCAGAGCTGAGCCTGGAACGGTTGTGGAAGCTGGCCTTGCAGGTTCTCATGCCATACGTGTGTTGACACTCTCTAAAGCCCCTTCTAGAGGCGGCAGCCTTGGGCATCTGGCCTGTGGTCCATGTGGCATTTACCAAGTGTGCAGGCCTCCACAGCTCAGGGAAGCTGCTGTCTTCTTCAGCTGCTGCTCTGGTTTCCGGGTGGCAAGCGCTGCCCACTGGCTGCCACCTTCTGCACTAATGAGAAGCAGACCCACACAGAAGAGGTCGTCAGTAGATGAGCCAGTCACTCAGGTGCCCACTGCCTTGGTGTCCTGTCTGGGCTCTGCTGCTTAGGAGCAGACACCAGAATAGTCTCACACCAGAGCTGGCTCATAGCACGGGTCAGGGTTCCCTGGCCATCAGCATTCCCATCCTACCTCAATGACCAACGGTGGTCAAACTGAGCACGTGGAGTTGACCTCGCATGTCGGCAGGCAGGCAACACTGCTGAGTGACATGTCGGCAGGCCAAGGAGGGAGGCCACAGAGCCAACTTTGGCTCAAAGGTGCTTCTCCTGTATTTAGGGCCTGGTTCCCCAACTCAGCCTTTGGTTCTACCCTTAGCATCAGGGTAGGACTGTCATGGAAACATCTGGGTCAAGTGCACGGCTCCTCACCAGTCCCCCCCCCCCCTCTGAGCATGCCCCTGTCTTTCAGGAATAAGACTGTCAACGGAGACTGCCGCGGCAGAGATCCGAGGGACCGGAGCCGCAGTCCCATTGAGCGGGCTGCAGCCCCCGCTGTGAGCTTGCATGGCGGCCACCTGTATGCATCCCTCCCTGGCCTCATGGAGCAGCCTCTTGCACTGACGAAGAACAGCGGTGACACGGGCAGGTCGGCTGTGGAGCGGCAGCAGGTGTGTGTGGGATGCCAAGCCGCTGGCTTTTAGTTCTCGTTCCCAAGGTGACCGGGTCAGGCGGGGTGTGGGGGACCAGGAGCTGCATGGAAACCTCGAGCGGAAGTTGAAGGGACCTCGGCTCCCCCAGTCCTGAGGCTTCACTGCTTTGCATAGTACAGGGTTGGAGTTGGTGAGCGAGGCCCCCCTCCACGGGTCCCGTCCCCCCCCCATCTTCCCTGACACTGTTCCTCAGGATCAGTGTAGTAATCCTCCTGAGAGCCCTGTGCTTACCCCGTGTGATTTCACAAAGTTAAATGTCAGTGGCTTTGTTTTGGGCTTGCATCTTATAAAGTCAGTGGTCACGAACCTGTCATTAAGACACAGGCTCTTTTTTATTATTATTAAAGGAAAATAAAACTGGGGAGGGGGTGTGATTCAAGACAGGGTTTTTTCTGTGTAGCCTTGGCTGTCCCGGAACTGGCTCTGTAGACCAGGCTGGCCTTGAACTCACATAGATCTGCCTGCCTCAAGAGTGTTGGGATTAAAGGTGTGCACCACTACCACCTGGCAAGATTATTGCTTTTTAAAAAACAAGGCCAGATCTGGTATTTCAAGCTTATAATTTTAGCTACTTGGGAGACTGAGGCAGGAGGATTACAAGTTCAAGGCAACTTCATAAGACCTTGTCTCCCAAAGAGCAGGCAGGTAGAGGGATGCTGAGGACATGAGCACTTGCTTACCTTAGCGCCACACACAGCAGGCCCCAGAGACAACAAAAAGGTGAGGTTTCTGACAGGAACTGTGTGAAGAGGCTTTAACGGCACCGAGCTCTGTGTGACCCGCGGCGGGCCTGGTTCCCAGTTTCCACTCATTGTACACACTCACTGGCCCCGAGGAGATGCTGTATGTCAGGGGCTCACCTCCAGGGGCGGGAACCCCAGCACATCTAGTCTTCCCCCTCTGGACCTGCTGTTGTAGCATAGGAGCATTGAGTGTAGGGAGGTCCCTGTCAAGGGCTGGGCCCTCCGGCAGCAGCGGCTGCGCAGCGCAGTCAGTGGATGAAGAGGAGCTGAGCTGTTCTCCCTCCTACAGAACCGGCCCTCCGTGATCACCTGCGCGTCGGCAGGCGCCCGCAACTGCAACCTCTCTCACTGCCCCATTGCACACAGTGGCTGTTCGGCACCCGGGTCTGCCAGCTACCGGAGACCGCCCAGTGGTGAGTTTCCCACCGTAGCCTGTTACAGCCTGTGGGAACCCTGGATTAACCTCTCCCTAAAATTCACTTAGCGTTGAATTTAAAACCATTGCTTTTGAGCACACGTGTACCTTGAATTGGCCATGGTTTGGGTGGAAAGGGATAAGAACATCTGGTCCCTGGCCCTTCCGGGCTTCAGTGACAGGCTCCACCGTTGTTAGTGAGTGCCATAAAGACACTCGGGATGCACACTCGAACCCAGTGTGGTTAAGCACCCCTGACGCGGCCCCCTCTCCCCTGATCCGTCCTTTGCAGCAACTGCCACCTGTGATCCTGTGGTGGAAGAGCACTTCCGCCGGAGCCTGGGCAAGAACTACAAGGAACCAGAGCCGGCACCCAACTCGGTGTCCATCACCGGCTCTGTGGACGACCACTTTGCCAAAGCACTAGGTGACACATGGCTTCAGATCAAAGCGGCCAAGGACAGCGCTTCCAGCAGCCCAGAGTCGGCCTCACGCCGGGGCCAGCCAGCTAGCCCCACTGCCCACATGGTCAGCCATAGTCATTCCCCCTCTGTGGTCTCCTGAAGGGGGCTCTACCCTCCAGCCACACAGGGATCTGCATGGTTTGCCTGAGCTTTCAACAGTCAGTGCTTAAGGGGGAAAAACGAAACAAAAAACAAAAAACAGAAAAAAAAATCTCGGGGGGAGGGTGGGAGGGTGGTTTATTCGCAAAACCATGTTGTCTGGACTTTTGTTCTGCTCTGTTTTTGTACTTGCTTGGTGTTCATACAAGGGGTCTCAATATGGCAACAGGAACAGCACGGAGCATCGGTCCAGCGGAGCATCCTTGCTTCCTGCCCTGGTTACCAAAGAAACCTCTGCAGGTCTGCCACCTGGCAGCCGGGACCCTGCGGCCCTTTCTTAGTCACAAGCCATGAAGACATGGGGATCCGGACGCTTTGTGCTCCTAGCTTTTGAGACGGAGCATGCACCGCTTGGCTTCCACCTGGGGTCCTGGCTCAGTCTGTGTGTGCATGTGTCTGCCTGGAAAGAACTGTCCCGATTTGCACTATGGAGGGCAGGGCTGCCTACTGGGCAGCTGTCTGAGATGCCAGCACGAGGGCAGACTGCTAGGGGACACTTCTGACCATGTGTGTGCTTGCATTGTCGCTGAACTTGGAAGGTCTCTAGCAGGTTCTAGGTCTTTCTCTCTAGTCTTGAGGTGCTCACAAATGGACTGCAGACTCCCCCCGACTATGGGCATTTACCTTCTCTGAACACTGCAGTTCGTGAGGCTAGTGTTGAGGCTAGAGGACTCGTAGTGCTTCTGACATGGTGCCTGTCTTAATAATAGCTGGTTTCTATTGACTGTAAGTCAGACTGTAGCACTGACTGGCTTCTTGTTGGCGGCATTAGCCTGTGTCGTCAGCTACAGCCCTAGATACATTCACTGCTGGTACAGCTGTGCTTCTGAGATGTGAGGTCGACGCTCACATGACTCGGAGAAGGAGCGCACAGCCGGTGGGTGTGGTAGGCTGGGGAGCCCATTGCTGCTGATTTTGTGCATCCTGGGCTGGAGACTTGAGTTCGTGTCTTCAGGCTCCTTGATGCAGACTGCTCCTTTCCAACTCCTGGCCAAACAGCAGGTGCCTAACAGTCTGCACCCTGGGGCTGCGTGCGCTTCCTCTCATGCCGGGGCCAAGGCTGTACACATTCCTCTATGATAACTATACAGCTATTCCTGCATCACTATTGCCCGCTCTATTAATAGCTACTAACTAGACATTAGAAGCAAGCAGGACAGACATGGCTGGGGCTGCCCCACAGCTGCTGCTCCTCCGGCCGTGAGCATTTCTGTCCCCTGGCCAGGACCACCTCCCCAACAAGGCATGATGGACTCCTTGCACATGGGAGCCCATGGGGCTGACTTTCAGTAGGAGGAAAGCAGGTTAGCTGTTGAACTTGGGGAAACAGGCAAGGGTGGAAAGGTGGGGACTGACGCCCGTAGTCACAGGGTGGCTACCGGCCTTTACAAAAGTGGACAGCCCTCCTGCCCCGCACACAGTTCACTCCACTCTCCTGGGCTTCCAAGCTTGGCATTCAGGCCCCTATATTTTCTGTAGGAAAAAAAGAATTGTTGAGAACACTTTTTTTATATAGGTAATTTTAAAGACCATCATTACGCTGTGCGTAAAGAATGTACAGAGAAATTTGTAGGTATTTTTGAAGAACAATTAATTTGTTAATGATATGTAGCTATTTAATTTTCCCCTTTCCTATCGTAATCATTTGTTGTTGTTGTTTGGGAAAAAAAGTTGATCTTTTTTTGTCGTAGGTGTGTCTGTAATCGTGCAGGTCCACAGTTACTCCATGACAACACTGCGTCCGCATTACTAGCCATTCGTTTGTTATTCTGCAGGCTACTGAGGTGGTCACAGGAGAACCACCACACCGCGGACTGGCTCTGTGGGCGACAGGCCTCAGACACCCGTCAGGGAGCGGGCTGTTGCTGGGGGGGCGGGGGGGGGGGGGCTGGGTCTCTGGTGCACTGACCTATCTGGAATAGGCTGTGCCCTGGAGGGGACTTCCACACACGTCAGCCAAGGAGTGCGCCATCCTGCCTGGGCAGGAGCGTGTGACCTCCCCGGAACCGAGCCACCCATGTGCGAACTGACCCTCTCCGTGTTTGTAAATCTGTAAAATACCATTCTCTGTGGCCTGTTTTCCTGGAAGAAGAAAAAAAAAAGGGTTGGCAGGCCATCTTTCTTTTTTTTTTTTTTTGTTTTTTTGTACTTAAAAGTAGCCTTAAGAACAATAATAAAGTGCTCTTAAACCAAGCCTTTGTGTGACTCTTGCGTCCTAAGGTGGCATGTGGTGCCCTGTGCTCAGGCCTGGCCGCTTCTGGGAATCATCGTGCAGGTGGGTAGGGTTACCTGTTGTAGCCTCTACTTTAGGCCAGGGTCCTCTCAAGTCTCCCTTACTGAAATCTGCCTAAGTCAGCCATGTCTGGGCTCCTAGTCTGGACAGGAGACCAAAGTTGAAGGTGTGTAAGTGTGGGAGGGGCGTGCTAGGAAGAGTAGTAGTCCATCTCCTAAGTGACCACACTTGCCAGGGACCCACCCGGAAGGAAGAGGGAAACTCGCCTTGCCCCAAAAGCAACCCCAGTGCAGCAGCTGCCTGTGGTCCAGCTGCACACCAGGCAGGCAGAGCTCCGCCCTGCTCCCCACCAGCGCCGTGCTCCCCAGCGTCTCGTCATCCCTGGAGCACTGTGGCGCCACAGCATGCCTGCAGCTGAGGGTGGGCCAGTGTGGTGCTCCACCTGAACACTAGGGGCAGTAAGCTCGGCCCTCACTGCTGCCCAGGGCCCGCTGCAGGTGAGCTCCTAGCAGGTCCTGGTTCGAGCTGACTTGGGTCAGATGCTCCCTGCCAATGTGAAAATATCCCGGGGAATCTCTTGACAACAGGAGGGGAAAGAAGAAAATCAATGCACGTGGAAGGACCTGAGCCCCAGATCAGTGGCAATGCCACAGTTATTATTGACTTCCGAGCTGGTGAGATGGTGCGGCAAAGAGCGGAACTGGGCAGCAGAGGGTACCCCTAGTCCTCGAGGGAGTGGGTATCAGAACCAGGGAGGTGGCAGGACCCAGATCACCAGTCGTGGGGAAGAGTCCTGCGCTGAGGGCCGAGCACTCCTGAGCTGTGGTTGCCTCAGACGGTCTCCTCGTCACTCATGTCCCAGATCTGTGTGGAGAAGGGGAGACACTGAACTCGGGTTCTGCTGCCCCACGGTGCCCACAGATGACATTTCCCAACTACAGCTTCCATGACAACAGAAGCATACACTCCCACAAGCACTGTGTATGTCTCCCAACTTGGGATTCCCCTCTGCAGAGCTGCCCTGTCTCTGAGGACTGATACCCTATTTCTTGTTCAATGGATTAAATCTCAAGTTTCTTCCTTTCCCAAGACCTCAAAGCCAGTGGGCAAGCTGAATGTGGATGGAGGACTGCATCAGCTGGGCAGCTCCTCCTCCTCCTCCTCCTCCTCCTCCTCCTCGTGCCCGGCCAGCCCCTGACTTTTACAGCATGCACCACTGGCCCAGTCGGCTTGTCCAGCTGTACCCTGTGCTTCTAGAAGCTGTGCTCGTGAGGGCAGGAGCTCTTGGGGGGCTGGCAGGAGAGCACACGTCACCCTGTGCTGTCCCACTGTCCATGCTGCTTAGGCCAGGTGCAGACACAACACTCTAAGGCAAGGGAGCTAGCTGTCACTCAGAACAGCCCTCCCCCAGCAACCCAGGTTACCTAGGCAGGGTAACAGACTGCCAGATTCTGCCTCTGTGTATCCCTGGGGAGCCTGAGGGTGTGAATGGGGGAGGGAACCCACTCCAGCAACACCCCAAGAAGGAGGTGGCCCCTCAGGCCAGCCCTCTGTCCCAGTAACTCCTGGCAAAAGTCCTGCAGAGAAGTGACCTGAGGTCAACACAGCAGGTCCCACGACCCTGCTACCCCCAGAGAGCTGGGCCCTGAAGCTATGCCTTCAGCCTTCCACAATTCCTAGAATGGGTTGCACAAGGCTCCCTCAGGCCTTGCAGAGCTGAGGAAGGGATGGCTTGTTGGTAGGAGTCAGGAGGTCTGGCCAAACATTCACATCAGTGCTGGCTGTCAAGGATGTGGAAAGCAACATAGAAGGTGACTTCCTCTCTTGAGCTAGGGTGGCAGTGTCCCCATACTGTCCCTCATTTCTACACAGGCCCCATCACAGCAAGAGAACTTGCCTCCTGTCCTATTGGGCACTGTCCCTCTGGTCCCAGGTCCCCACCAGAGTGGCGCCTGACCTCATGGGGTAGGTAGCTTGGCTGCCTGTAAGAGCTCTTGACCTGGATCTGCAGCTGAGCTGGGGAGATGGACCCATCAAAATTGCAGCATGATGCAGCTACTCATACTGGCCCATCCAACAAGCACATTTACATAATCGCCTGTCCCAGGCGGTGTGACCACCCAGAGCTAATACTCCCATGGTGCCTCACTCCTGCCAGTGAGTTGAGGGAAACAGCTCAGAGAGGTAAAAGTCTGCCTGGGATCACACAGCCAACAAGCTGCCAAGCTGGGGAGACCATATATAGAAAAGGCTGGGCAGTGGAGGAAGGGGATGGATGGTGAGGATGGGGTTGTAGCTGGAGGCATCAGACCAAGAGGGAGGAAGGTGAGCGCCAGAATCTTCTGCCCAGCCTTCCTGGGTGCCGCTGAGTGGTATCCTCTGTGGATGGGCAGGTAGAGCTTATCATGGTTGCTCCTGGACTGGTTCTAACCGGTGGGGCTGCTGCTGGCACTGCCTGGCCCTTGGAGAGGCTCCTGCAAGCCACCCAAAGGTGACTATGAAACCATTGAGGTCTTCCAGACCCAACTCCTAGGGACAATGGGGGACTTCTCCACTAGGGCAGTGTCCACTAGTGTCCAATGGTGGGGTTCACATAGCACCCAGGACAGCACTGGCCTAGACGGCTCACAGTTGTCTTGTGCATGAATGAAGATGGTGGATTGGCAGAGATTTGCTCAAATGATAATGCTTGGTGCTGGCACAGGACAGTTACCAAGTTTCACTCTCTAGCCCAGGCTAGCCTTGAGCTCACAGCAATGCAATCCTCCTGCCTTAGCCTCTCAAGTCTAGGGTTATAGGCATAACCCACCACGGCATGTTTCTATACTCCTTTCTAAAGAGAAAGGCACCAGAAAGGTTTGGCTTGGATATTTTTGCTTTTTCAAGACAGGGTTTCTCTGTGTGGTCCTGGCTGTTCTGGAACTTGCTCTGTAGACCAGGCTGGCCTCGAACTCAGAGATCCACCTGCCTCTGGCTCCTGAGTGCTGGATTAAAGGTGTGCACCTCCACTGCATGGCTATAGAGCTTTTAAAATGTCTATGTTGGTTAGTTTTGTTTGGTTTTGTCACCCCGACACAAGTTAGAGCGACCAGAGAGGAGGAACCTCAACTGAGAAAATCCCTCCAACTGGAGGCAAGCTTAAGGGCGTCTTCCTAATTAGTGATTGCTGGGGGGGGGGGGGCGCCCACTGTGGACGGTGCAGCCACTGGACACAAAACTGGCTAAGGGCTGCAACTCCCTGAGCTCATTGTGGTCAAGATGAGGCCTCAACAGGCATAAGGCACTCTGCTTACAGCCAGTGAAGGCGAAGACCTAAGACACCCAGAAATGAGAAAGAAAGAAAGACTCGCCTTTTTTTTTTTTTTTTTTTTCGAGACAGGGTTTCTCTGTAGCTTTGCGCCTTTCCTGGAACTCGCTTTGGAGACCAGGCTGGCCTCGAACTCACAGAGATCCACCTGCCTCTGCCTCCCGAGTGCTGGGATTAAAGGCGTGTGCCACCAGCCGCCCGGCTAAGATTCGCCTTTTAAGAGGAATTAAAAATTGTGATGCTTGGAAAAAAAATAGAAGAAAATGTTTTCATATACAAAGGGCTAGTGTAAAGAACTCTACTTCTTATTTCTTAAAAATAGGCAAAAAACAAAACTGAACAGATGCTTCACAGTGGACGCATGTTAGTCTCTGGGGAACTGCCAAAAAGCCCACAAAGGGCTGAGGAGACGATGGTTCACTAGGTAAATAATACTTGTCATGCAGGTATGAAGACTGAGTTCAAGTCCCTAGGACCCCTGTAAAGCTGAGCATGTGGCACGTGTCTGTGACCCTTATGCTTCTACAGAGAAGTGAGAAGTAGACACCAGCATCACCAGGAACTCGTGGGCTAGCCTGCTGTACAAAGTGGCAAACACCAGAGACCTTGCCCGTGAATGAGGTGGAAGGTGAGGACTAACATGGCTTGCTTCTTCCATATGCACACTGCTGCACGTGCACACACACGCATACACATACACACACTTGCACATATCATACACATGTATTTAGTTAGGGTTTCTCTTGCTGTGGTAAACACTATGACCAAAAGCGACTTAGGGAGGAAAGGGTTTATTTCGCTTCCATATCCACATCACAGTCTCACTGAAGGAGGTCATGGCAGGGACCCCAGCTCTGCAAGGAAAGGCAGCAGGTCAGGCCGCGACTCTAAGATGAGAGAAGGGCCCGTCTAACCGGTACTCATGCATGGAGCCAGGGAGGACATCTGCCTGGACCCACAGCCCCAGAGGGCACAAAGGTGTGCCAGCTGCAGCCCAGGCATGGCACTCTGGAAAGGAGCAGCTGGTATCCAATTCCAGCCTGGGTCTGCGCTGGGCACACTGCGGTGCACAGCATGGGCTGAGGGCCTCTTCCACACACACTGTCAAAACCTGGGAATGGCACAATTATATTTTGGGGTGTGCTAAATGTGTTCACTTGCTAATGTAAACATCTTAAACCACACTGCAGCTTGTGAAAGCTGGGGCTGGCACTCCTTATGCCATGTGGGCCTCTGCACGGCCCACTTCCTACCTCCCTACAACATGTCCCTCTTCTGGGAGGGACAGGGGACAGGAGCAGGGGTGGACTGGGCTGGGACCAGGTAAAGATCTTGGCCTGAGCTTCCTCCACAGACTCCCTAGAAAGATTCAGACCCCCTGGGGAGGCTGGAAGGTCTGTCATATGTTCTCCTGAGGGATGCTAACCCCACTCATCCTTCTCCTGTGTGGTGCCATCTCTCACAGACCCTTCTAGGCAGCTAGCCCTAGGTTTAGGGGGGTTCTATCAACAGGTAGTACCAAGACCAGGAAGGGCTTCCTAAGACAAAATGCCTAAGCCAAGAGTGAAGACCAGAAAGAGGACAGGCTTGTGGGACCCTATGGCTGATGGATTGTGTGCTGGTGTATTATGGCCCATGACATCCTAGACTGAC